CAAAATGAAAGGATTGAAAAAAAATTGAATCACTAAATAAAATCACTTCGATTTATTCAATGAACACAATGAACATTGAATCATGTTACATTTTCAATACATCTCCCCAAAAATGAACTTTCCGACATCGCTAATTAGACAAACTGTAATGAGCCTGGCATTGGTGGTGTAACGGTTAGCATGGTTGCCTTCCAAGCAGTCGATCCGGGTTCAACTTCCGGCCAATGCAGCAGCAGATTGTTTTGAGGCAATGAATGCGTGTCAATTTCCTGTCACTACCAAATATAAGCTATTGAGCAATAACTGAATTGAAGAATATAGTTTCCTTCAACTAATTTACAAGTGGGTTCAAGATGATCAAATGGTTTAGCTTTATGTTACTTTCAATTACGAATCAACACATCTCTAAAACGTTTTCCCCCCCTCATCAACTTGTTTTCAACCAGCATCAGAAAATGGAGATGCCGGGTTTCGAACCCGGGGCCTCATACATGCAAAGCATGCGCTCTACCACTGAGCTACATCCCCGAGATGAGTTACAAAATGAAAGGATTGAAAAAAAAATTGAATCACTAAATAAAATCACTTCGATTTATTCAATGAACACAATGAACATTGAATCATGTTACATTTTCAATACATCTCCCCAAAAATGAACTTTCCGACATCGCTAATTAGACAAACTGTAATGAGCCTGGCATTGGTGGTGTAACGGTTAGCATGGTTGCCTTCCAAGCAGTCGATCCGGGTTCAACTCCCGGCCAATGCAGCAGCAGATTGTTTTGAGGCAATGAATGCGTGTCAATTTCTTGTCACTACCAAATATAAGCTATTGAGCAATAACTGAATTGAAGAATATAGTTTCCTTCAACTAATTTACAAGTGGGTTCAAGATGATCAAATGGTTTAGCTTTATGTTACTTTCAATTACGAATCAACACATCTCTAAAACGTTTTTCCCCCCTCATCAACTTGTTTTCAACCAGCATCAGAAAATGGAGATGCCGGGTTTCGAACCCGGGGCCTCATACATGCAAAGCATGCGCTCTACCACTGAGCTACATCCCCGAGATGAGTTACAAAATGAAAGGATTGAAAAAAAATTGAATCACTAAATAAAATCACTTCGATTTATTCAATGAACACAATGAACATTGAATCATGTTACATTTTCAATACATCTCCCCAAAAATGAACTTTCCGACATCGCTAATTAGACAAACTGTAATGAGCCTGGCATTGGTGGTGTAACGGTTAGCATGGTTGCCTTCCAAGCAGTCGATCCGGGTTCAACTCCCGGCCAATGCAGCAGCAGATTGTTTTGAGGCAATGAATGCGTGTCAATTTCTTGTCACTACCAAATATAAGCTATTGAGCAATAACTGAATTGAAGAATATATTTTCCTTCAACTAATTTACAAGTGGGTTCAAGATGATCAAATGGTTTAGCTTTATGTTACTTTCAATTACGAATCAACACATCTCTAAAACGTTTTTCCCCCCTCATCAACTTGTTTTCAACCAGCATCAGAAAATGGAGATGCCGGGTTTCGAACCCGGGGCCTCATACATGCAAAGCATGCGCTCTACCACTGAGCTACATCCCCGAGATGAGTTACAAAATGAAAGGATTGAAAAAAAAATTGAATCACTAAATAAAATCACTTCGATTTATTCAATGAACACAATGAACATTGAATCATGTTACATTTTCAATACATCTCCCCAAAAATGAACTTTCCGACATCGCTAATTAGACAAACTGTAATGAGCCTGGCATTGGTGGTGTAACGGTTAGCATGGTTGCCTTCCAAGCAGCCGATCCGGGTTCAACTCCCGGCCAATGCAGCAGCAGATTGTTTTGAGGCAATGAATGCGTGTCAATTTCTTGTCACTACCAAATATAAGCTATTGAGCAATAACTGAATTGAAGAATATAGTTTCCTTCAACTAATTTACAAGTGGGTTCAAGATGATCAAATGGTTTAGCTTTATGTTACTTTCAATTACGAATCAACACATCTCTAAAACGTTTTCCCCCACTCATCAACTTGTTTTCAACCAGCATCAGAAAATGGAGATGCCGGGTTTCGAACCCGGGGCCTCATACATGCAAAGCATGCGCTCTACCACTGAGCTACATCCCCGAGATGAGTTACAAAATGAAAGGATTGAAAAAAAATTGAATCACTAAATAAAATCACTTCGATTTATTCAATGAACACAATGAACATTGAATCATGTTACATTTTCAATACATCTCCCCAAAAATGAACTTTCCGACATCGCTAATTAGACAAACTGTAATGAGCCTGGCATTGGTGGTGTAACGGTTAGCATGGTTGCCTTCCAAGCAGTCGATCCGGGTTCAACTCCCGGCCAATGCAGCAGCAGATTGTTTTGAGGCAATGAATGCGTGTCAATTTCTTGTCACTACCAAATATAAGCTATTGAGCAATAACTGAATTGAAGAATATAGTTTCCTTCAACTAATTTACAAGTGGGTTCAAGATGATCAAATGGTTTAGCTTTATGTTACTTTCAATTACGAATCAACACATCTCTAAAATGTTTTTCCCCCCTCATCAACTTGTTTTCAACCAGCATCAGAAAATGGAGATGCCGGGTTTCGAACCCGGGGCCTCATACATGCAAAGCATGCGCTCTACCACTGAGCTACATCCCCGAGATGAGTTACAAAATGAAAGGATTGAAAAAAAATTGAATCACTAAATAAAATCACTTCGATTTATTCAATGAACACAATGAACATTGAATCATGTTACATTTTCAATACATCTCCCCAAAAAATGAACTTTCCGATATCGCTAATTAGACAAACTGTAATGAGCCTGGCATTGGTGGTGTAACGGTTAGCATGGTTGCCTTCCAAGCAGTCGATCCGGGTTCAACTACCGGCCAATGCAGCAGCAGATTGTTTTGAGGCAATGAATGCGTGTCAATTTCTTGTCACTACCAAATATAAGCTATTGAGCAATAACTGAATTGAAGAATATAGTTTCCTTCAACTAATTTACAAGTGGGTTCAAGATGATCAAATGGTTTATGTTACTTTCAATTACGAATCAACACATCTCTAAAACGTTTTTCCCCCCTCATCAACTTGTTTTCAACCAGCATCAGAAAATGGAGATGCCGGGTTTCGAACTCGGGGCCTCATACATGCAAAGCATGCGCTCTACCACTGAGCTACATCCCCGAGATGAGTTACAAAATGAAAGGATTGAAAAAAAATTGAATCACTAAATAAAATCACTTCGATTTATTCAATGAACACAATGAACATTGAATCATGTTACATTTTCAATACATCTCCCCAAAAATGAACTTTCCGACATCGCTAATTAGACAAACTGTAATGAGCCTGGCATTGGTGGTGTAACGGTTAGCATGGTTGCCTTCCAAGCAGTCGATCCGGGTTCAACTCCCGGCCAATGCAGCAGCAGATTGTTTTGAGGCAATGAATGCGTGTCAATTTCTTGTCACTACCAAATATAAGCTATTGAGCAATAACTGAATTGAAGAATATAGTTTCCTTCAACTAATTTACAAGTGGGTTCAAGATGATCAAATGGTTTAGCTTTATGTTACTTTCAATTACGAATCAACACATCTCTAAAACGTTTTTTCCCCCTCATCAACTTGTTTTCAACCAGCATCAGAAAATGGAGATGCCGGGTTTCGAACCCGGGGCCTCATACATGCAAAGCATGCGCTCTACCACTGAGCTACATCCCCGAGATGAGTTACAAAATGAAAGGATTGAAAAAAAATTGAATCACTAAATAAAATCACTTCGATTTATTCAATGAACACAATGAACATTGAATCATGTTACATTTTCAATACATCTCCCCAAAAAATGAACTTTCCGATATCGCTAATTAGACAAACTGTAATGAGCCTGGCATTGGTGGTGTAACGGTTAGCATGGTTGCCTTCCAAGCAGTCGATCCGGGTTCAACTACCGGCCAATGCAGCAGCAGATTGTTTTGAGGCAATGAATGCGTGTCAATTTCTTGTCACTACCAAATATAAGCTATTGAGCAATAACTGAATTGAAGAATATAGTTTCCTTCAACTAATTTACAAGTGGCTTCAAGATGATCAAATGGTTTAGCTTTATGTTACTTTCAATTACGAATCAACACATCTCTAAAACGTTTTTCCCCCTTCATCAACTTGTTTTCAACCAGCATCAGAAAATGGAGATGCCGGGTTTCGAACCCGTGGCCTCATACATGCAAAGCATGCGCTCTACCACTGAGCTACATCCCCGAGATGAGTTACAAAATAAAAGGATTGAAAAAAAATTGAATCACTAAATAAAATCACTTCGATTTATTCAATGAACACAATGAACATTGAATCATGTTACATTTTCAATACATCTCCCCAAAAATGAACTTTCCGACATCGCTAATTAGACAAACTGTAATGAGCCTGGCATTGGTGGTGTAACGGTTAGCATGGTTGCCTTCCAAGCAGTCGATCCGGGTTCAACTCCCGGCCAATGCAGCAGCAGATTGTTTTGAGGCAATGAATGCGTGTCAATTTCTTGTCACTACCAAATATAAGCTATTGAGCAATAACTGAATTGAAGAATATAGTTTCCTTCAACTAATTTACAAGTGGGTTCAAGATGATCAAATGGTTTATGTTACTTTCAATTACGAATCAACACATCTCTAAAACGTTTTTCCCCCCTCATCAACTTGTTTTCAACCAGCATCAGAAAATGGAGATGCCGGGTTTCGAACTCGGGGCCTCATACATGCAAAGCATGCGCTCTACCACTGAGCTACATCCCCGAGATGAGTTACAAAATGAAAGGATTGAAAAAAAATTGAATCACTATATAAAATCACTTCGATTTATTCAATGAACACAATGAACATTGAATCATGTTACATTTTCAATACATCTCCCCAAAAATGAACTTTCCGACTTCGCTAATTAGACAAACTGTAATGAGCCTGGCATTGGTGGTGTAACGGTTAGCATGGTTGCCTTCCAAGCAGTCGATCCCGGGTTCAACTCCCGGCCAATGCAGCAGCAGATTGTTTGAGGCAATGAATGCGTGTCAATTTCTTGTCACTACCAAATATAAGCTATGAGCAATAACTGAATTGAAGAATATAGTTTCCTTCAACTAATTTACAAGTGGGTTCAAGATGATCAAATGGTTTAGCTTTATGTTACTTTCAATTACGAATCAACACATCTCTAAAACGTTTCCCCCCCCTCATCAACTTGTTTTCAACCAGCATCAGAAAATGGAGATGCCGGGTTTCGAACCCGGGGCCTCATACATGCAAAGCATGCGCTCTACCACTGAGCTACATCCCCGAGATGAGTTGCAAAATGAAAGGATTGAAAAAAAATTGAATCACTAAATAAAATCACTTCGATTTATTCAATGAACACAATGAACATTGAATCATGTTACATTTTCAATACATCTCCCCAAAAATGAACTTTCCGACATCGCTAATTAGACAAACTGTAATGAGCCTGGCATTGGTGGTGTAACGGTTAGCATGGTTGCCTTCCAAGCAGTCGATCCGGGTTCAACTCCCGGCCAATGCAGCAGCAGATTGTTTTGAGGCAATGAATGCGTGTCAATTTCTTGTCACTACCAAATATAAGCTATTGAGCAATAACTGAATTGAAGAATATAGTTTCCTTCAACTAATTTACAAGTGGGTTCAAGATGATCAAATGGTTTAGCTTTATGTTACTTTCAATTACGAATCAACACATCTCTAAAACGTTTTCCCCCCCTCATCAACTTGTTTTCAACCAGCATCAGAAAATGGAGATGCCGGGTTTCGAACCCGGGGCCTCATACATGCAAAGCATGCGCTCTACCACTGAGCTACATCCCCGAGATGAGTTGCAAAATGAAAGGATTGAAAAAAAATTGAATCACTAAATAAAATCACTTCGATTTATTCAATGAACACAATGAACATTGAATCATGTTACATTTTCAATACATCTCCCCAAAAATGAACTTTCCGACATCGCTAATTAGACAAACTGTAATGAGCCTGGCATTGGTGGTGTAACGGTTAGCATGGTTGCCTTCCAAGCAGTCGATCCGGGTTCAACTCCCGGCCAATGCAGCAGCAGATTGTTTTGAGGCAATGAATGCGTGTCAATTTCTTGTCACTACCAAATATAAGCTATTGAGCAATAACTGAATTGAAGAATATAGTTTCCTTCAACTATTTTACAAGTGGGTTCAAGATGATCAAATGGTTTAGCTTTATGTTACTTTCAATTACGAATCAACACATCTCTAAAACGTTTCCCCCCCCTCATCAACTTGTTTTCAACCAGCATCAGAAAATGGAGATGCCGGGTTTCGAACCCGGGGCCTCATACATGCAAAGCATGCGCTCTACCACTGAGCTACATCCCCGAGATGAGTTACAAAATGAAAGGATTGAAAAAAAATTGAATCACTAAATAAAATCACTTCGATTTATTCAATGAACACAATGAACATTGAATCATGTTACATTTTCAATACATCTCCCCAAAAATGAACTTTCCGACATCGCTAATTAGACAAACTGTAATGAGCCTGGCATTGGTGGTGTAACGGTTAGCATGGTTGCCTTCCAAGCAGTCGATCCGGGTTCAACTCCCGGCCAATGCAGCAGCAGATTGTTTTGAGGCAATGAATGCGTGTCAATTTCTTGTCACTACCAAATATAAGCTATTGAGCAATAACTGAATTGAAGAATATAGTTTCCTTCAACTAATTTACAAGTGGGTTCAAGATGATCAAATGGTTTAGCTTTATGTTACTTTCAATTACGAATCAACACATCTCTAAAACGTTTTTCCCCCCTCATCAACTTGTTTTCAACCAGCATCAGAAAATGGAGATGCCGGGTTTCGAACCCGGGGCCTCATATATGCAAAGTATGCGCTCTACCACTGAGCTACATCCCCGAGATGAGTTACAAAATGAAAGGATTGAAAAAAAATTGAATCACTAAATAAAATCACTTCGATTTATTCAATGAACACAATGAACATTGAATCATGTTACATTTTCAATACATCTCCCCAAAAATGAACTTTCCGACATCGCTAATTAGACAAACTGTAATGAGCCTGGCATTGGTGGTGTAACGGTTAGCATGGTTGCCTTCCAAGCAGCCGATCCGGGTTCAACTCCCGGCCAATGCAGCAGCAGATTGTTTTGAGGCAATGAATGCGTGTCAATTTCTTGTCACTACCAAATATAAGCTATTGAGCAATAACTGAATTGAAGAATATAGTTTCCTTCAACTAATTTACAAGTGGGTTCAAGATGATCAAATGGTTTAGCTTTATGTTACTTTCAATTACGAATCAACACATCTCTAAAACGTTTTCCCCCACTCATCAACTTGTTTTCAACCAGCATCAGAAAATGGAGATGCCGGGTTTCGAACCCGGGGCCTCATACATGCAAAGCATGCGCTCTACCACTGAGCTACATCCCCGAGATGAGTTACAAAATGAAAGGATTGAAAAAAAATTGACTCACTAAATAAAATCACTTCGATTTATTCAATGAACACAATGAACATTGAATCATGTTACATTTTCAATACATCTCCCCAAAAATGAACTTTCCGACATCGCTAATTAGACAAACTGTAATGAGCCTGGCATTGGTGGTGTAACGGTTAGCATGGTTGCCTTCCAAGCAGCCGATCCGGGTTCAACTCCCGGCCAATGCAGCAGCAGATTGTTTTGAGGCAATGAATGCGTGTCAATTTCTTGTCACTACCAAATATAAGCTATTGAGCAATAACTGAATTGAAGAATATAGTTTCCTTCAACTAATTTACAAGTGGGTTCAAGATGATCAAATGGTTTAGCTTTATGTTACTTTCAATTACGAATCAACACATCTCTAAAACGTTTTCCCCCACTCATCAACTTGTTTTCAACCAGCATCAGAAAATGGAGATGCCGGGTTTCGAACCCGGGGCCTCATACATGCAAAGCATGCGCTCTACCACTGAGCTACATCCCCGAGATGAGTTACAAAATGAAAGGATTGAAAAAAAATTGAATCACTAAATAAAATCACTTCGATTTATTCAATGAACACAATGAACATTGAATCATGTTACATTTTCAATACATCTCCCCAAAAATGAACTTTCCGACATCGCTAATTAGACAAACTGTAATGAGCCTGGCATTGGTGGTGTAACGGTTAGCATGGTTGCCTTCCAAGCAGTCGATCTTGGTTCAACTCCCGGCCAATGCAGCAGCAGATTGTTTTGAGGCAATGAATGCGTGTCAATTTCTTGTCACTACCAAATATAAGCTATTGAGCAATAACTGAATTGAAGAATATAGTTTCCTTCAACTAATTTACAAGTGGGTTCAAGATGATCAAATGGTTTAGCTTTATGTTACTTTCAATTACGAATCAACACATCTCTAAAGCGTTTTTCCCCCCTCATCAACTTGTTTTCAACCAGCATCAGAAAATGGAGATGCCGGATTTCGAACCCGGGGCCTCATACATGCAAAGCATGCGCTCTACCACTGAGCTACATCCCCGAGATGAGTTACAAACTGAAAGGATTGAAAAAAAATTGAATCACTAAATAAAATCACTTCGATTTATTCAATGAACACAATGAACATTGAATCATGTTACATTTTCAATACATCTCCCCAAAAATGAACTTTCCGACATCGCTAATTAGACAAACTGTAATGAGCCTGGCATTGGTGGTGTAACGGTTAGCATGGTTGCCTTCCAAGCAGTCGATCCGGGTTCAACTCCCGGCCAATGCAGCAGCAGATTGTTTTGAGGCAATGAATGCGTGTCAATTTCTTGTCACTACCAAATATAAGCTATTGAGCAATAACTGAATTGAAGAATATAGTTTCCTTCAACTAATTTACAAGTGGGTTCAAGATGATCAAATGGTTTAGCTTTATGTTACTTTCAATTACGAATCAACACATCTCTAAAACGTTTTTCCCCCCTCATCAACTTGTTTTCAACCAGCATCAGAAAATGGAGATTCCGGGTTTCGAACCCTGGGCCTCATACATGCAAAGCATGCGCTCTACCACTGAGCTACATCCCCGAGATGAGTTACAAAATGAAAGGATTGAAAAAAAATTGAATCACTAAATAAAATCACTTCGATTTATTCAATGAACACAATGAACATTGAATCATGTTACATTTTCAATACATCTCCCCAAAAATGAACTTTCCGACATCGCTAATTAGACAAACTGTAATGAGCCTGGCATTGGTGGTGTAACGGTTAGCATGGTTTCCTTCCAAACAGTTTATCAGGGTTCAACTCCCGGCCAATGCAGCAGCAGATTGTTTTGAGGCAATGAATGCGTGTCAATTTCTTGTCACTACCAAATATAAGCTATTGAGCAATAACTGAATTGAAGAATATAGTTTCCTTCAACTAATTTACAAGTGGGTTCAAGATGATCAAATGGTTTAGCTTTATGTTACTTTCAATTACGAATCAACACATCTCTAAAACGTTTTTCCCCCCTCATCAACTTGTTTTCAACCAGCATCAGAAAATGGAGATGCCGGGTTTCGAACCCGGGGCCTCATACATGCAAAGCATGCGCTCTACCACTGAGCTACATCCCCGAGATGAGTTACAAAATGAAAGGATTGAAAAAAAATTGAATCACTAAATAAAATCACTTCGATTTATTCAATGAACACAATGAACATTGAATCATGTTACATTTTCAATACATCTCCCCAAAAATGAACTTTCCTACATCGCTAATTAGACAAACTGTAATGAGCCTGGCATTGGTGGTGTAACGGTTAGCATGGTTGCCTTCCAAGCAGTCGATCCGGGTTCAACTCCCGGCCAATGCAGCAGCAGATTGTTTGAGGCAATGAATGCGTGTCAATTTCTTGTCACTACCAAATATAAGCTATTGAGCAATAACTGAATTGAAGAATATAGTTTCCTTCAACTAATTTACAAGTGGGTTCAAGATGATCAAATGGTTTAGCTTTATGTTACTTTCAATTACGAATCAACACATCTCTAAAACGTTTTTCCCCCCTCATAAACTTGTTTTCAACCAGCATCAGAAAATGGAGATGCCGGGTTTCGAACCCGGGGCCTCATACATGCAAAGCATGCGCTCTACCACTGAGCTACATCCCCGAGATGAGTTACAAAATGAAAGGATTGAAAAAAAATTGAATCACTAAATAAAATCACTTCGATTTATTCAATGAACACAATGAACATTGAATCATGTTACATTTTCAATACATCTCCCCAAAAATGAACTTTCCTACATCGCTAATTAGACAAACTGTAATGAGCCTGGCATTGGTGGTGTAACGGTTAGCATGGTTGCCTTCCAAGCAGTCGATCCGGGTTCAACTCCCGGCCAATGCAGCAGCAGATTGTTTTGAGGCAATGAATGCGTGTCAATTTCTTGTCACTACCAAATATAAGCTATTGAGCAATAACTGAATTGAAGAATATAGTTTCCTTCAACTAATTTACAAGTGGGTTCAAGATGATCAAATGGTTTACGAATCAACACATCTCTAAAACATTTTCCCCCCCTCATCAACTTGTATTCAACCAGCATCAGAAAATGGAGATGCCGGGTTTCGAAACCGGGGCCTCATACATGCAAAGCATGCGCTCTACCACTGAGCTACATGTCCGAGATGAGTTACAAAATGAAAGGATTGAAAAAAAATTGAATCACTAAATAAAATCACTTCGATTTATTCAATGAACACAATGAACATTGAATCATGTTACATTTTCAATACATCTCCCCAAAAATGAACTTTCCGACATCGCTAATTAGACAAACTGTAATGAGCCTGGCATTGGTGGTGTAACGGTTAGCATGGTTGCCTTCCAAGCAGTCGATCCGGGTTCAACTCCCGGCCAATGCAGCAGCAGATTGTTTTGAGGCAATGAATGCGTGTCAATTTCTTGTCACTACCAAATATAAGCTATTGAGCAATAACTGAATTGAAGAATATAGTTTCCTTTAACTAATTTACAAGTGGGTTCAAGATGATCAAATGGTTTAGCTTTATGTTACTTTCAATTACGAATCAACACATCTCTAAAACCTTTTTCCCCCCTCATCAACTTGTTTTCAACCAGCATCAGAAAATGGAGATGCCGGGTTTCGAACCCGGGGCCTCATACATGCAAAGCATGCGCTCTACCACTGAGCTACATCCCCGAGATGAGTTACAAAATGAAAGGATTGAAATAAAATTGAATCACTAAATAAAATCACTTCGATTTATTCAATGAACACAATGAACATTGAATCATGTTACATTTTCAATACATCTCCCCAAAAATGAACTTTCCTACATCGCTAATTAGACAAACTGTAAAGAGCCTGGCATTGGTGGTGTAACGGTTAGCAGTCGATCCGGGTTCAACTCCCGGCCAATGCAGCAGCAGATTGTTTTGAGGCAATGAATGCGTGTCAATTTCTTGTCACTACCAAATATAAGCTATTGAGCAATAACTGAATTGAAGAATATAGTTTCCTTCAACTAATTTACAAGTGGGTTCAAGATGATCAAATGGTTTAGCTTTATGTTACTTTCAATTACGAATCAACACATCTCTAAAACGTTTTCCCCCCCTCATCAACTTGTTTTCAACCAGCATCAGAAAATGGAGATGCCGGGTTTCGAACCCGGGGCCTCATACATGCAAAGCATGCGCTCTACCACTGAGCTACATCCCCGAAATGAGTTACAAAATGAAAGGATTGAAAAAAAATTGAATCACTAAATAAAATCACTTCGATTTATTCAATGAACACAATGAACATTGAATCATGTTACATTTTCAATACATCTCCCCAAAAATGAACTTTCCGACATTGCTAATTAGACAAACTGTAATGAGCCTGGCATTGGTGGTGTAACGGTTAGCATGGTTGCCTTCCAAGCAGTCGATCCGGGTTCAACTCCCGGCCAATGCAGCAGCAGATTGTTTTGAGGCAATGAATGCGTGTCAATTTCTTGTCACTACCAAATACAAGCTATTGAGCAATAACTGAATTGAAGAAAATAGTTTCCTTCAACTAATTTACAAGTGGGTTCAAGATGATCAAATGGTTTAGCTTTATGTTACTTTCAATTACGAATCAACACATCTCTAAAACGTTTTTCCCCCCTCATCAACTTGTTTTCAACCAGCATCAGAAAAAGGAGATGCCGGGTTTCGAACCCGGGGCCTCATACATGCAAAGCATGCGCTCTACCACTGAGCTACATCCCCGAGATGAGTTACAAAATGAAAGGATTGAAAAAAAATTGAATCACTAAATAAAATCACTTCGATTTATTCAATGAACACAATGAACATTGAATCATGTTACATTTTCAATACATCTCCCCAAAAATGAACTTTCCGACATCGCTAATTAGACAAGCTGTAATGAGCCTGGCATTGGTGGTGTAACGGTTAGCATGGTTGCCTTCCAAGCAGTCGATCCGGGTTCAACTCCCGGCCAATGCAGCAGCAGATTGTTTTGAGGCAATGAATGCGTGTCAATTTCTTGTCACTACCAAATATAAGCTATTGAGCAATAACTGAATTGAAGAATATAGTTTCCTTCAACTAATTTACAAGTGGGTTCAAGATGATCAAATGGTTTAGCTTTATGTTACTTTCAATTACGAATCAACACATCTCTAAAACGTTTCCCCCCCCTCATCAACTTGTTTTCAACCAGCATCAGAAAATGGAGATACCGGGTTTCGAACCCGGGGCCTCATACATGCAAAGCATGCGCTCTACCACTGAGCTACATCCCCGAGATGAGTTACAAAATGAAAGGATTGAAAAAAAATTGAATCACTAAATAAAATCACTTCGATTTATTCAATGAACACAATGAACATTGAATCATGTTACATTTTCAATACATCTCCCCAAAAATGAACTTTCCGACATCGCTAATTAGACAAACTGTAATGAGCCTGGCATTGGTGGTGTAACGGTTAGCATGGTTGCCTTCCAAGCAGTCGATCCGGGTTCAACTCCCGGCCAATGCAGCAGCAGATTGTTTTGAGGCAATGAATGCGTGTCAATTTCTTGTCACTACCAAATATAAGCTATTGAGCAATAACTGAATTGAAGAATATAGTTTCCTTCAACTAATTTACAAGTGGGTTCAAGATGATCAAATGGTTTAGCTTTATGTTACTTTCAATTACGAATCAACACATCTCTAAAACGTTTTCCCCCCCTCATCAACTTGTTTTCAACCAGCATCAGAAAATGGAGATGCCGGGTTTCGAACCCGGGGCCTCATACATGCAAAGCATGCGCTCTACCACTGAGCTACATCCCCGAGATGAGTTACAAAATGAAAGGATTGAAAAAAAATTGAATCACTAAATAAAATCACTTCGATTTATTCAATGAACACAATGAACATTGAATCATGTTACATTTTCAATACATCTCCCCAAAAATGAACTTTCCGACATCGCTAATTAGACAAACTGTAATGAGCCTGGCATTGGTGGTGTAACGGTTAGCATGGTTGCCTTCCAAGCAGTCGATCCGGGTTCAACTCCCGGCCAATGCAGCAGCAGATTGTTTTGAGGCAATGAATGCGTGTCAATTTCTTGTCACTACCAAATATAAGCTATTGAGCAATAACTGAATTGAAGAATATAGTTTCCTTCAACTAATTTACAAGTGGGTTCAAGATGATCAAATGGTTTAGCTTTATGTTACTTTCAATTACGAATCAACACATCTCTAAAACGTTTTCCCCCCCTCATCAACTTGTTTTCAACCAGCATCAGAAAATGGAGATGCCGGGTTTCGAACCCGGGGCCTCATACATGCAAAGCATGCACTCTACCACTGAGCTACATCCCCGAGATGAGTTACAAAATGAAATGATTGAAAAAAAATTGAATCACTAAATAAAATCACTTCGATTTATTCAATGAACACAATGAACATTGAATCATGTTACATTTTCAATACATCTCCCCAAAAATGAACTTTCCGACATCGCTAATTAGACAAACTGTAATGAGCCTGGCATTGGTGGTGTAACGGTT